GGGTTTAGGGTTTAGGGTTTTTCAGCCGGCTTTCCATCTTGGGGTTAAGGGCTTAATTAGGTCTTCATGTAGAGCCGTAGTAATTAGAATAGGGTTCCTGTAAAGGGTTCCTTAAAAGGGATACTATGAGGGTTGCTATAAGGGTTCTATGGACGGGCCTTAATAATTAGCACAGGGTTTGGGGCCCTTTTTACCATATCTATAATAAGGAACCCCCCCAAAATAACACTGGTAAATATCTAGGCCCCTATATTACTTGCCCACAGAGCCGAGCCGCACGCGAACACGATGAAAGAAAGTCGCGGATGCAAAGGGCATGCAGATGAAACACCTGCGGACCTGCGACACCATAGTGATGCAGGTGCGAGGTGAACCATGCAAAACAGATGATACATATTCACCATACCGATAACCATCTCAAACACCACCGAGATATGCACTGCATCATGGCCAAACATGGCATGAAAGCTTGCCCTGAAAATTGCCAGCGTACGCCGGCGGAAATGTTATAAATATCCGACTGTCGTCACTTTCACGGGTCAGCTGGCTTCCGGATAGCTCCATGTAGACCCTAAAGCCTGAACCCCTAAACCCTGAACCTGAACCTCTGAACTGCAAGTAAACCCCACGTGACCCCAAATTCGTCGATGGATCAAGCATGGCACATGGGCGCCAGGAGCCAGCATGTCTGTACGATTCCTCCGGACCATCCTCCTGATGGCCGTTAAAAAAATGTCCTGGAAGCATGACGGGACTCAGGCGGTGTTTCCTGAGGAGAGAAACCCTGAAATGAACAGGCAGCCATCAATACTGTAAACCTTGGACCGAACCCTAAACCCTAAACCCTAAACCCCTAAAGTTGGACCTGAAACCCTAAACCCAAATGAGCGAAAGAGACGGGTTTAGAGTTTAGGTTGTAGCTCGACTTGCAGGGGCAAGTCGGGGCAAACGCAGATTTGCGAAAAGTGCTGTCCTGGGTTGTAGTTTTGGGGCCTGACAAGTATTTATGAGTAGGTACCTCCATAATGACCATAACGGGACGTTTTAAAGTTTTCCCAAAGTGCCACCTGACACGCATGGTACGGGTGATTGCCAGGAGCCATGAACGGACTGGATGAAGGGATTTTGGGACCTAAAACCTTACTATTTGGGTACTCGGACCCTCCGGGTCATTGCAGACGGTTCGCGGCAAATTG